ATATGAAAACTAATAATAGTCATTTAAGTACATTATTTGTATTAAGTAAAATCAGTGAGTGGTTTATATTGCGTTTTATGCAAGGGAATTATCGTTCAGAGTTATTGTAAAGTATTATTATTATTTAATTTAAAATATTTAAAAAATATTTAAATTGTACACAAAATTATTGTTTGATATTTTTCTGTCGTTTATAAAAAAAAAGCTGTTTAATACTTGAGCGAAAGCACATAATTGTGTATATTTTAAAAATCCTATGTTATAGGCTGATATCAAATAAATATAACTATAATTAATCTATAAGATATAATAAAATTATATGTATATTTTTCAAAGATACTCAAACACTGGTAGTCCTAATATTTCTCAAGTATAAAGAGTAAGCTACCTGCTACTTGTTGCGTCCTATGATAAACATTTCTTGCGAATTACAGCCGACCATTTTTGGGCTCATTCAAATTTCTTTAATTTTTTTTTTAAGAAATTTACTCAAATTGTCTCCCGATTTTAAAAATATCATACTATTGAAATTAATGTTGTCTTTAATGTTTATCCTTTTTTAGTAGAATTGACTTCAATAAATACATGAATCCAATTTCTAGTTAAAATATAATTTAGTAGAATATTAAACATTGGTTATACGGGTACACGATGATGTGTTAATATTACAATAGATAATTATATATAATAAAAAAAAAAATAAATAAAAACTAGATTAAAATGGTTAAAATAACTATTAAATGTTAATAAAAAATAAATAAATAAATAAATAGAATATTACATATTAAATATTATAATGTTTTATTCCTAAAAATATTTATTTATAAATAACACTACTACATAATATATTAATAATTGTCATAAAAATAATATTTTTGAGCATAACTAAAATCAATAAAATTATCAATATTACTAGTATATCCATTATTGATAAAATGTATTGATGAATTAACTTATAACTCATGTAAGGCCATTCAAATACTCACATTTTCGTCGTTATGGGTCTTATTTGAAAACAAAATTAAATTTTTAAATTTTTTTTTGCGAATAAATAATTAAATTCTTGTCATCTAGTTAGATACTTAATGAAGGCTGGCTATTAACAAGTATCCTCAGTCCCTTAATTGTAAAAATCAAAAATTTTAAAACAATATTATGTGACTATTTAGCTCGACTTTAATATAAAATAATAATCTAAATGTTTTAATTTGCATGACTTATTTTCTTTTACAAAATCCAATTTATAAGAAAGAGTACTAAATTATATATATATATTTATGACATTTCTTATTAAAACTTAATATTTTCTAAATTTGTTTACCACGAATAATTAGCATTCAATTTCTGAGCCTAGTTTTGAAATTTAATTATTAATACTTAGTAGTTACATTAAGTGGGTCATTAACCATTTCTTTTGAAAGTAAATATTATAGTTGCGCATTTTATTTCACCCTCGGGTTGGGTGTATTGAAGTTGTCTCCGAAAAAACCTGGAGGTAATTTCAGTAAAACAATATTACTTGTTTAGATTTGAGAAGTAATTCATGTTCACCCACATTTTTTAGGGTACAAACTAATTGCGGTCCATATTTTTCTAACGTATTTACGAATTGCAAGCTGTTTTTATTTTTTCAGGGTAGTATACACTAGCCAAATATAAATTATAAAAATAAATTTTATATATTATGGAACTTCATTTTACTTTCCTTTTTTTTTTTTTTTTACTGACTGTAATATGTATAGCATCATAAGTATTATCATGTTAAAAATTTTATTTCGCAGTTTTTATTTCAATATATTATGTATTATTATTATTTTTAAATTTATATTACCTATAGCACTGGTAAAAGTTTGTTCTATTAATTTAAAATGTTTGTTATTGACTTGTCAATAATAAAATTATCAGTGCCGGATTAGCGTATAGGCAAGATAGGCACGTGCCTAGGACTAGATAAAAGTGGTCATCAGAGAGTGCTACTTTTTTAATAGAGGCACTGTCAGTTTAACCGGGCGTTTGTGGCAAATGTTATTAATATATTATATTAATATAAATATTATTAATTTTAAATACGGTTTTTTGATTATGTTTGTAGCCTTAGATCATATATAATGGATGAAACCATGTCCCGATATTTTGAAGCACATATAAGCGATGAGTCTCGTAATGAAATATGCTATCTACGCATGTCCATGTCTGAGGAAAGGTTAAACGCTTTAGCTTTATTGAATATTAAAAATGAACTATTAAGGTCGATCTTAACCTGGAACTGGATAAAATATTATAAAAAATTGTATTAAAATAATACCTATATAATTAAATATCAATAATATACTAAACTGTTGTAAATGTCGACTGTCGTTATTATATTCTTTATCGAGTAGTGATATTTCTTATTGTATGATAGACAAATCTCAAGTATGTAAGCATCTTTACGTTTCAAATCGATGTGGTTTTCAATATTAAAATAACGTATGCAGGTACGTTTAAATAAGTGAAATTAAGTGAAATTAAAAGTTATATATTTAAAGTTGCTTATATTTGTTTATCTTTTTAGTTAAACATTTTGTGTACGAGACGAACAACTAAACAATACCGACACTAAGATAATAAGTAATAACTATACAATAAAAAACACTATAGTAAAATAGATTATAATAATTATAATTGTAATTTTTTTTCATTTTTTGTTTTTATACCTATCACACATAGTACAATTGTGTAATTTCAGTATTATAATCTTTCAGTTTATACATTAACTTCTATTTAATGAACTAAAAGTCTAGAAAGTAAAATTTACAATCCCGGTTTAAGACTTTAGCGGCTATTACTTAATCACAAATCCCGTGAATGTAAAAATAAGTATTAATATTTAAAAAAATAAATGACAGCTGAAAACATCATTGTGTTTTGCAATGACACTGTGATGTAATGTAACATACAACATGTAGGTTCACATACTATACCGTTTTTTATTTACCATGTCAATAAAAATAAAATATAGTATATTAAATTTTTTTTTTCTAAGTTTATCTGAGTTCGTGATATGTCTTATATTAAAAATGATAAAAAATAAAACTCGCTTACTATGATTTTAATTTAACAACATCGTGGACCCTAAACTTGTTTGAGCGAGGTTTTCGTTGTTTTTATACTTCAAAAATCATACAACTCTAACGCAAATTAAAAGATACGATCGAAACTGATAAATTCAATTTTAAGTTTTGCAAATGTAATTACAATCGGCCAGTCCTGTGTAATTTAAGCATAATATATTTCACGATCAGACGTAGAGCGGCTCGTCTGCGTTTGAAAATTCAACTACGATGCTCTGGGCCTCTAATAAAACCTCTGACACAGTAACGTCACGTTAATGTTTGTGTGTGTGTGTATGCGTATTTGAGTGTGTTTTTGTTTGTTTTGTGGTCTAAAACTTTATCAGGGAAGAGAGTGGAAACGTTAACATTTTTAATCATGTGATTCATCATGTTACTTAATAGTTATTTATTTTGCACAAACAACGTGTGCGGTACGTACATTAATACAAATGCAATAGAAAATACAAGAACCGATGACGTACGTGTGCATTGGACGAATAATATTTATATTAAAACTACGAAAAACTGCATTATTTTTCTATTTACAAAACGACATTACATCGACGGCAAACAAAAACTGTATTATTTAGAATTCACATACATGATATATATATATATATATATATATAATATATATATTTCATTTTATTACGAGTTTTATATAATATTCAATTGTATACATCATTATACTAAACATTTATAGGAAGAGTCTGTTCTGACTCCAACTCGGTTATAATATTTAATTGAATTGAATATTTATCTTTGTAAAATATACATAGTATAATATATTATACGTCCTATAAGTTATATTTTACTTTTATACTCGTATGTTATATAAAGGAGTCTATAGCACTTGATAATTAATTTATCGTATAACCGTGTTTATAGGTATATATTTAATAGTTGAAAAACACTAGAAAATATATTAAAGACATTTCTTCGGCGGGCGGGGTCAAAATAATACTAAAAATAAAACGTTAAGTAATACGTAGTAAACTACATGTCGGTTTTTCAATAGAAATTATTCATATAACAATCAATCTATGTGATTTTATTCCAAATTGTATTCAATCGCGTTTTTTATTCTAAATTTAGGCAAATTTGTATCGAATTTATTAAATACAAATAGCTTTTCCACGAAAGTGTCATGACTTAGTAGTATATTAAGGTATTTATGATGTAAATTAATTTATGTTTTCTGCAGCTTTTTTCGTTTGTTTTAGCATGAATTTCTGATCTTATATTTTTGTTTGCAATAATATGTGTATTGACTGAAATTTGTTCAATATACAACAAAAATAATTATGATAAAGTTTTTCAACATAATTTTTATTTGACATAAGTTCTTAGTCATTTATTACATTTAAAGCTTAATACATCGAGAATAAAAAACTTATATCTTTACAGTAGTATAATATTAAATTCCCAAGCAACTTTAAATAATAATAATAATAATGTGCCTTTATAAAACCAATATTTCTTTAGTCAACATTACCAAATATCATTAATAATTTTAATGGGATTCATCCCTTCACGATTGTATGATTGCACTTAAATCTTATGGAGCGTAAATTATATTAAAAAGGAATTAACTCATAAATATCCAAATTGTATTTCTAAAAGGGAAAGCATGTTTTAATTAATCGGCTTTCATCAAAAATTTAAAGTATTTTTTATCAATATGTATTTAAGTCTCAAAATCTAATCTAACCCTTTTTTTAACAGGTAACAAAAAATATATGCTTATACAAACACAATATTTATTATTTATTATTTTATAATATAGTCAAAATGCTTATAACGCAATAAATTATCAAAAATTTATAAATAAAATCTTACCTGTAGTGATACCCGTTTATTATATTTAACATCAAACTAATCTACTACTTTAATTTGTGATCGCAGGATGGATGAACACACTCGCAGAACGTCTCCATAAGGACGTGGATAATGTGACCCACTCAGAGGCGTACATAACATCATTATATTTCACGTGTTCTAGTTTAACCAGCGTCGGGTTTGGTAACGTTTCGGCTACTACCGGTGCCGAGAAAATATTCAGTATCATCACGATGCTGATTGGAGGTAAGTCATAATCACTAAAATAATATACCAAAACATTGTTTGTTGTTGTTGACATTAGAATGATATTGTTATTGTCACTCACACAATTTTATTTAACTGTATTTTAGTTAAAAAATAAATTATACTTTAAACTAGTTTAAAAATGGCCACTATAATTTTAAAATTATTAGATACAGGTGATTTTAGATAACTCAATGTTCAAGCAAAAACACAAATTAGGGTAATTAACAATTTTATTTTATTAAAAATCAATTAAGTGTCATGGCGTCTGAAAGAATATTTTTTTTATAATTGAAATATCAAGGTTATAGTTACCGAAAGTTGATAGTACCTACTTTATCCTTTGAACTTATTTTTCTTTTTTATTAATAAGTTGAAATCGTGTTTATAGATCTAATATAGTGTACGCATAATATTCATAACCAATATAAACATTGTTAAGAGTAATCATTCGTTTAATTTATGTTTATTTAATTATCTTGTATAAATGAAGATTTAAAAAAATATATTATTTCTTCATTAAATAATTCTGTAAGTTCAAAAAAATTGTTTTAATTTTCTTAATTTACTAAAAATTAAATAATATATTATTTTTTACATTAGATTTGCTTCTTAACTAATTCAAGTATTTTTTAATACATTAACTTAACTACCTTCGGATGTATTTACTTAGCTGTGTTAAATTAATGTAGCCCTGATGCACGCGGTGGTGTTCGGTAACGTGACGGCCATCATACAGCGCATGTACTCTCGACGGTCATTATATCAGAGCAAGTGGCGGGACCTCAAGGACTTCCTAACGCTACACCAGGTACCCAGCGAGCTCAAACACAGAATGCAGGACTATTTCCAGACTATGTGGTCTCTTAACCATGGCATCGACATACACGAGGTAATTTCTAGCGTAAATTTAAAGTGTTCTTCACTCTCATCCCGACCAATACCGTAGCCGTTTCGCCCATTTTAATCGATAGTTTTTGTTCCAGACGCTGAAAGAGTTTCCAGAAGAGCTCAGAGGCGATGTTTCCATGCATTTGCATCGAGAGATACTGCAACTGCCAATTTTTGAGTCCGCATCACAGGGCTGCCTGAAACTGTTATCGTTGCACATCCGGAGTAACTTTTGTGCCCCGGGTGAATATCTCATTCACAAAGGTGATGCGCTTACATCCATCTATTATTTATGTAACGGTTCCATGGAAGTCGTCCAGAATGGCATGGTCGTCGCCATTTTAGGTAATTTATACAATTTTTTTTTTAATATTGTGTATCTAAATTGATTGCCATTGGCTGAGACCGGTTAATGAAATGCACAACACGCAGAGATAAATTTTTTTGTATTTTACAATAATTATTTATATCTGATATCATAATAAACGTAGGCCCGTATGCAAAGGGATGCTTAAAATTTCCCCTCCATTGACTTTTTTCGCTTCTAGGTTATTAATCGCAATTGGTTAAATGAATTGAAAAAAAGTTTTGCAAGACTTAAGTAAAACTCTCGAAGTATAAAGTATGAACTAAAAACTATAAGTATCAACATTCTTTATAAAATTAAGAAATTAATATAATTATAATTAATTTTTTTACAACACTATTTTTTCTTCTACAAAGAAATCCTGCGCGCAAACCTATTTAGAATCGATTACTTATTTAACGAATATTTATACATTGGTGTTTAATTAATAAATTGTTAATGGCAGATTTCATTATGAGACTCTCGAGTGTAATAGATCATTGTGTTCTCTTATTAAGGTCAAACTAAATATTATATTTACAGGTAAAGGTGATTTGGTTGGATGCGATATTAGTATGTGGCTGGGTCAAGGTAGTGGTTCAGGTAATTCGGGCGTTGTCGCTGGTGGTGGAACCACCGGTGGCGGTGCAGGAGGTGACACGGTGGTCAAGTCTAGTTGCGATGTCAAAGCTTTAACTTATTGCGACCTGAAGTGCATTAATGTGCTAGGCTTGGTAGAAGTTTTGCGGCTTTACCCAGAGTATCAACAGGAGTTTGCAAACGACATACAACATGACTTGACGTACAACATACGTGAAGGATACGAGGCCGAAGTAATTAAACCTCACAAAGTACATATTTTGTTTTAATTGAAAGCATAATATAATAATATTAATTCTTTACTAACTATAATATGATATGATTTTCTCATTAATAGCTATTATGGAATTAACAATACGCTTAAATTGTTCATAGAATTAATAATGTTAAGAGGATGTCACACACTCGCTTTTTGAAGCTGTGAAAATTTTAATAAAATATTATGAAAAACTTCTAATTAATAATCAACACAGTATATTAATGCTATTATTGGGAATTTCATGTTTTCATGTTTATCAGTTACTTGCCAAAATTAAACACAAAAATTTACTCTGAATAAATGATTAGATGATTCATGAATATTTTTTTTTTAAACTCTATTTTACTATCTCTAAAAAATTTAAGACAGTCAAACATAAACAATTTTTGATGGAATTTAAAAAAATAAATTACTTGACATAATCAATATAATTATTCGTAAAATAAGATAAAGAAAACGTTTTTCGTTTTAAAATTTAGGACTAAGAACTTCAGATTATTAATAACTTGAAACCATTTTTCAGTATAAAGAGCTAGTGTGTGACGGGTGGCAATATATTTTAATAATAGTTAATTTTTCAAAACTTTTAATGGTCAATTATTATGCTTTAATAAATTATGTATCGAATAAAATGAATATACCATAAGTACTTTCAAGGTCGTATATTTTTCCTTTTAATTTATTTAAATAATATTTTTGTAAGAAAAAATGTATCAAATTAATTAAATCCAACTTATTTATACATTATAAATTTAAAAATATATACGATTTATAAAGACTTTTTATATCTATTATAAACTATTTGTCCAATAGTTTGTTAATGATTAATATTAATCAGTAATTTTTGATTGCTTATCATTTTAATGAGTATTTTTTATTTCATTGGAATATGTTGCACAATTATTTTAAATACTTAAACCTTATATACACCTACTCCTAAATAATTAAAACTAAAGTACCTCAAAATAGGTTTTACAAATAATGTTTAGTTTTAGATTGTTAAATAATTTAATTTACTACAATAGGTTATGTATTTACTTATATAATAATATGCAAGTTATTTTATTAATATTATAAATTAATTTAAGTCTTTGATACCAATTATGTGTAACGTAAATATATAACTACTTTATGTTACGCACGTGATAGATAAATAAACAATCAATTAACTAATTGGTGTAATAAATTAATCTCATAAAAAAAAAATAATAAAATGTTTGTATTTTTTGATAGTACTTAAAAAAAAAAAAAAAACGAGAAGACTTATAATTGAAAAAAATTGTATTTAAAATAATAATGTTTGAGAGCTTTTGACATTGTTTCTTATCATTCTTATTAAAATATATTACTAATTGCATTCCGTAATATTTATTATAACGAATAAACTAGCGTAATTCAATTTTAAGCTTTTTTTACCTTATATTTTGAACTTAATTTGCGTAGGAAATTGATCAAAATGGTATAACGACGTTAACGTTACCATCAATAAGTGAAGACGATGAAAACTTGCAAGAAGAATGCGACGGATCTCCAAAGTCACCTCCTTCTAGATCACCGTTGCACTCCAGTTATAGTCCTAGTAGACATAACCTTACTAAATTATCTCAAAACAGGTATACATTTTCAAAACACTATACTAGTAGAATAAATATATTAATTATGTAATTTTTAATTTTAGACTTAAGTTGGTAATTATAAATAATGGTCTATGTTTAATTATGTCCTAAAAACCAATAGTTTCATTTAGAAAAAAATTAGCAATAATTGCATAATTAAAATATAAACGAACAAATAATAAATACAGTTTTTTCTCGTATGTAACTGTACTTTTTTTGTAAAAATTGTAATCATTTTCAAAACTTTGTCAAATACAAATAAATATAAATTGGATGTAATTTTAATGAGAAGATCTAGATTTTTTTTTATAATAAACAACCCGTATTTCATAACTAAAGTTTTTAAGGAAATTAGATAAATTTCAAAATCGTCACTTAATTAAATAAAAATACTTACCATGAAGCATTTTCACATTTTAAAGAATTAATACTATATAGATGCATGCTATGTATCCTCTATTCATTACTAGTAATTTTAATTTATTTACTAATTATATATATTAATATTATTTTATATTATAACTGTTATAACATTGTTTTTAAACATGTTTTTGTAACAGAAAAAAAAAACTAAAAATATTTTTTTAAGAATAGCTTATAGACGTATTATCTATTATCTATCCTTGTAAATTTAGATATTTTCTACATTGTGTTTGACATTTTTACTAAATGTTTATATTGTTTGAAGTACAAACTTGAAATATCTTCATTTCAAAGACACTTTATAGTCGATAAAACGCCAACAGTCCATTAGAGTATAGTTGATCACAAGAAATATCATACCATTAATTGATAGTAAACTTTCACACTGTTAAGTTATATTTTCAAGGCTCCCATTAGCAGCTGTGAAAAGTGTTTATTTATGGAAGTTGTGATAAAATATACGAGTAAAACTAAAACTTAAAAATATTATCATATACAATATTATGCACATTTTCGAGTATATAAAATAGAATTATCATAATTTTATTCAGAATTTTACCAATACAAACATTTTTACTGTACTTTTATATATTATAATATAATATTACCTACCTATGTGAATTCAGTAAAATTACTGGAAAATTAACTTTTAAATGTTTGTCTTTTTTTCATGACTACGTAATTTTGAATACCCGTCAAACAGTTATACTAAATTTATAGTTTTCAATAATAGATTAAATATTATTTAATTACATTGTTATTATTTTATAGTACATACACATTTTTTTAAACAAAAATCAATAATCATAAAAATTAATTTAATTAGCTACGATTATATTTTTTTAACATCATTTTGATTTATAAAATATGTTTTATGCTAATAGATCAAGAACGTTGCCTCGAAGTGATATCGAACACAGAAAAGTCAATGTTGACAGACTGGACACGCAAGTTACTTCACTTCATTATCACGTTGCAACTTTAAGTCAAGAGGTAAATCATACAATACATACACATATAATATATACATATTATGTAACTAAACGCCTGTAATGAGTTTAAATCAAATTTATTTTATATTAATTAAAACTTTATAATAGTTATTGGTTATTAACTAATAAATATTTACCGGTAAATTATATAGCTATTAAAAAATACAATAGGTCATATAATGTGTTATAAAAATAAATATTTTCATATGATAAACAGTTAAATATCAAAATAAAATATTCTACTTAATAATTAGGAGTCGAATTAAAAATTACATACGTGTTATAGAAGTGCAATTGAACTTAAATTAACTTGAAACTTTTAACGAACCCTTATTAAACAAAATATTGATGAATAATTGAAATTAAATTTAATTTTGGTAGAAAAGTTATTCATATTAAGTAAATACAAAAGTAACTTTACGATGAAAATAAAACTTTTATTTTCTGGTAATATTTTTCTTCAATGAGTATTTGCTTTATTATGCACGTTTTGTATACATATGTTTATATTTGTTCATATTCAGGTATATATTTTATACTCGGTTATTATTTTCTCGAATTGTTGCGTATAAAATGTAACAATGTGCGAATATGATACACGGATTAGTTCTTTGAAAATGGAATTGAAAAATCATCTCGTTGAAACAACTTCAACATAAATTATTTATATTTTATGTACATAGTGCCAGAATTATATAGTGCCTGCCATATTTTTTTTTAAATTTATTATAAAAAAAAATCGGTTCTTTATACCTTTAAATTTATGTATTGGTTTTACATTTTACTTTTCGTCAAAATATATCCTTGAATAAAATATATCTATCGAATATATATTATTCATTTTTTAGGTATTCACAGTTAAAATATATTCTAGATTTTTATTTACAATTCATAAAAACAAATAGTGTATAATTTTAAACAAATAACAATTATTTTTAACATTTTAATGTAGATACAACTCTATTGTATATTTCTATCTTTTTGCATTCATGTATATGCGTCATTATAAGGTACCAATAACTATGTTTTTAAATCAATGTTATCAATACAGGCATTATAATATTTCGTTACAAATTATTAGCTAATGGAAAAAATTAATTTTTATCCATGTCTTAAAAATATAATATTATTTTAAATACCAACGTTTTCTCACGGTCTTATAAAAAAAAAAAAAAAGTAGTTATAATAAATTTCCACAGGTGCTTAAAAAAATCCAAATACCGTTCTAAATATGACAATAATTGTGATTAATAATGTATAATATCTAAAAAGCAAATTACCATTAATCGTACTCTTAACAACTGCATTATATATTTACCTGTAACTCATGAAAAACACACATGAAATTATTGTTTGCTTAGAATATTATTACTATACTTAGCTGACCGACTTAAGTAAAAACAAAAAATCTAAGAATAAAATGGTAATAAATTTAAATAAGTTTACAAATGTAAGACATAAGAAAAAAAATCGATTGTAACAGTAAATTTGCATTCTAATTTTAATGAATATTCTCAAAACTCAAGGACCTGTAAAAATAAGTTTTTAATTGTATAAAAAGAATTTCAACAAAATTGAGTAATGCTAAACTTTTATGGTATACACCGTTGTTTTCTCGCGGAAATCGTTTAGTCATATCGAGTAACTACTGTTTGCAAAAAAAAAAAAAAATAAAAACTGTAAATAAAGTATATTTTCAAAAAGTTAACCGATGTACCTAAATACTAAGCGCTTATAAATACAGCTGGAGTGGTCATAAACATTTGTTACAATAAATAAGCATCATTTTTATTTATGCACTATATTATCGTTTTAAACATCAGTAATAATAACAAAAGATAGTGTCATTATGTTACAATAAACAAAAGCTGTTTTATATTAAAAAAAAAAAAAGCTTTCCTAATGGTGGAAATAATATTTACTCGTACAATATGTGTATAAGTCATTTGTTGTATTGAGATAAATTTTATTTTTTCAAAATTATACCACACATACATAATGCATATAGTATATACATGGTCGAATTGATGTTATTAACGATTCATTCACTCTACTTTTTTTTTCATATAGTGTATCTATTCGTTTTGAAAGTAAAACATTCGATAATTAAAACAATAAAAGGCAGTAAAAAAGATATTTACATTTTTATATAAAATTAACAAATTATATTGTTATTAACTTTTACGTGACACTTCAGCTGTCGATATAGTGTTAAAAAAAAAAAAAATAATAAAAAAATAAATAGTTAATATTACGACAATACGTTCAATGTTATATTGATATTGTTAGCGACGATTATTGTATTTTCCTCGACCGACGTCACGCCGCAAACGCCGTTATGTCTAAGTATAATTATTATTAATACATATTTTTGTTCTGGTACTTCGGTGACGGTGCACAACTGCGCGATCGCCTTCGATTAGATGGACGGAACTAGGTGAATTGGGTCCGCGATAATTTAGGTTTGTTTTGAAAGCGGTAAGTTGAGTCCCGGGTATAAAATGGTAGTAGGTAAGTTGGGTCCCGGCTATAAAAAGGTAATAGGTAAGTTGGGTCCCAGCTATAAATCATTGGCGCAATTAGGTCTAAAATATTAAAAGCTTAAAACTTTAATATTCCATATTTATATAATTTACTTTTGAATAATTGTTACAATAATACGTCATATTGCATATTATATTGTAAAATTTGACGTACTTTATTATTTAGCTTATTAACATTTTTAATATTATTTACGCCACATATTGTAAAATTTGACGTACTATATTATTTAGCGTGTTGACATTTTTTTTTTCCGGTACACAATTTTTTAATCATTTATACCATATATTATTTATTGAGAACATAATATTATAAAAAACCACATACATTTTAATTTATACATTTTTTTCCGGGACTCGACTTACCTACAACCTTTTTTTTTTTCCGGGACCCAATTTACCGAGATAAGGTCATTTGGGACCCAATTTACCAATCCCGAGGTGGACATCTCCGATCCGAGCGCATAGGTCATAAGCCGCGTCTGTTGTACGCGTGTCGTCTAAATCCCAACGATCTTGTGCGGTGTTTCAGGTGAAAAACGCCATACACGCGCTGCAAGAGCTGGCGACGACCAGTTCGAGCGTGAGGCTGCCGTACTCGTTGCCGGCCAGGTCGAACCCGGACCTGCCGGAGAACGCGAAACGGTCGCAGACGGGCATGCTCCAGCGGAGTTCGTCGCACCCGCCCGAGGTGTTCGGCTGGGACGGCGCCGTGTACGACAGCCCGGCGCACCAGCCGCACCACCAGTACGGCCTGCACCACCTCCAGCAGCAGCACCAGCACAACCAGCAGCACCAGCACCACCTCCAACACCACCACCACCAACCGCACCACCTCGCGTACCAGCAGCAGCAGTGTCTGACGTATCAGCAGCACTCCAACGGCGGCGGCG